ACTGTGTGCTTTCTTTAATCGAGAGATACTGTTTTTCTCACTTGTTTAGACTACTACCAAGTAATTGTTCTAGTACAAGCCTGGGTTTAAAGCCTTTTCTATGTTCTATTAAGTTTGTTGATGTGTTTGTCGCTTCTTTCTAGTGTAGAGTTTACTTTTTGCTTTCTGCTAGTTTTGTGCCAAATGATCGTCGAGGAGAGTGTATGAAGCTTCTAAATTCCAAAATTCCAAAATTTTTATAAATTTGACCAAAAAAAGATTGATAATGAAATTGACCTTTTATTTTAATGACCAATCAAATTAATGACAATGTTGTTGATACAACAAAATTCAATTTTCGATACAGTTAACCAATAAATTTATAATCAATAAATTCTTCATCGAAAGTTAATAAACTCTTTTCCGTTTCTTGAAAATTTTCTTTCTTAATCGAAAAAATATTTAAAATAGTGATTTCTTCATTGTTCGGAATAATACATTTAAATTTTTTTAAATTCGTCATTGCAATAACATAATTGCATTTGAATCTGATCCAAATTTCATGAATCTTTAATTTTATCATCATTGAAGTTACAGAATAAAATCCGAAATTTCATTTTTATAAAAAAATCAAATTAATAATCAATTTCATATCTATATACAAGAATTAAATTTAAGCCAAATAATGTAGAAACATTAAGAAATCGTGAAGATACTTAATATATCGAATTTAATTTAAAAACGATTGAATCTACAAATTCGTTGAATTGTTTTCTAACCAATTCTAAATAATCATTAAAAAGTTCTTTTCGAATTTGAACCTCGACTCTTTTGGAAAGTAATTTTAAATTTGACGAATATGTATAATAAATATAGATAGTAAAAAATATAATAAAAAAAATAAAAAAAAATGATAAAATTAAAATACTATTTTTCAAGAGCGAAATAGTATTTAAAAGTTTTTTTTCATTTGTTTTTTTGAGAGAAGCTATCTCGTGATTATATTGCTCAAATTCCTGAGCGACACAATCAGTAATTATTTGTCTTGTTTCTATTAAAATAAATAATTTAATTTTTTTTAACTCAGATTTTAATAAAATAATAATAATTACCTTCAGAAATAGCCTGTTCTGAAATCATTTTTATTCAATTTATTTATTATTTGAAATTACACAAATTTAAAAAAATCAAATTTAAAAATTCTGGCTCTTAAATACCTTCTGGAGCTGTTGTAAACAAATCTGATATTCCCACAAGACCTGGATAAGGTGGAGGTGGTGAATCTGGAACAGATAACTCTGAAAAAGAATCTTCTCTGCAAGTAGAAGATAATTGACTCAAATAAAGTTCTTCTTGATTAGAAGCATATCGTCCAGATTCGGTTTGTCTCAAAAGGTATGACATGCGATATCAATTAATAAAACAATATATAAAGCTTGTAAGAAATGCATAGAAAATTTATTATTGTTCAAGTTGCAGAAATGTTTTCTTTATAACCAATTTGAATATAACTAAAAATAGATATTTATTGTAAATCCAAAATAAAGACATTTTTAGACATGTTGATATCAGTTAACCAAATCAAGTAAATAAATTTAATCAAAGTGTTGTTTATATAGGTTATTCTATATACACAGCAACACAAATAATATAAATCAAAAAAAATCATCAAATCAATATGTAACGTTCTCAATATAAAGTATAATCTTGTAAACATAAAGAAGTTATTAGAAAAAGAATATTTATAAATGAATAACTTTATTTAACTCGTTCGTTGAATAAAATTTTATTTTATTATAATAAATATACAAATTTTAAAATAAAAAAAATAAAATTTAAAAAAAATTAAAAAAAAAATTAATTATTTTTTAATATTTCCTCCGACTCATATTTATCTAATAATTCAATATTTCTATTAATTAATTTTTGATTATTAATTTTAAGTTCATTCAACTCTCTTTCTAGTTTTTTAATATTTTCAACCAACGACAAACCTTTATTATAGTTGGAGAAAGCCTCTTCACAATTTTTTTTCAGTTTTAAACATGTAGTACACGAATATTGATTATTGTTAATTTTTTTCTTAACTTCAAGAAGAGAAAAAACGACCATATTGAGATCTTTCTCCAACTCCATCTAATAATAAAAAAAAATTATTATTAATAATTTGTTTATAAACAACATATTAAAAAATTAACTAGATAAAATATCATAAAAACAAAACAAAAAAAAACGAGTAGCGCTATCGAAATTCACAAGTTTAAATTCGACTAAACCTGTGTCGTCTAATCACTGTTGGTCCTAGTTGCCAATCAGGAGAAGATGAAAAAACATTGTTCTTTACTACCGGTAGACTAAATAATCATGTATATCTAATATTAAAAAAAAATAAAGAAAACACTAACGTTTCGTGAAAATAAAAAAAGTTGTTTACAAAAAAAAAGATCATCTTGATTTTAAATAAATATTTATAGTAATTTGTGAATATGTTTACATACGCGATGATAATCTTTTTTCTGTTACACATTCCATATATGTGATAATCTACAAATGTGATATTTGAGTAGATTAGACCCGTTATTCTATATCAGACCCTTTAAAACAAAGGTGTTTGTGAATTTTTGTTAGAAACTTTCAAAATTAATATATTTTAAGGATATAAATGTCAAATTAAACAGTATATTTGGCGATTCATGTTTATATAGTCTAAAATGTAATTAACAATAATATAATTATCATTTGTACCCATTATGTATTATACTTTTTATATTAATTTAATCAAGTGAACTTGTTCTGCTCACTCCATCAATGCTTTTTTTGTAGAGACAAAACTTCATCCGTGACTGAAATATAACATAGTATTCTTTACTATTACCAATTTAATTATAAATATAATTACTACGTAGCTTGAGCATTTACGTCAATCATTAATTGCTTTCGCAGTATAGTAATAAAAATATAAAGCAAAATAGATAATTTGGAACAATTTGGGAATTTAAAACATTCAAAAACAAATCTTTAATTACATCAGATATGAATCCGAATATCCAATATAATTATATAAGTTAATCCAGTTTTAATGTAATTATAAATGTTGGTAATCAGATATCCAAATAATTTCCAGATATCCGGATTTTTCTTAAACTAGATTCAACCACTAGTTAGGATCATCTGTCCTTTCTTTAAGATTTTTTTCACCTAGGTCTAGGCAGAATAATTATTTCCTACTTTTTTATAAGCAAGGAATATATATACCATGTTTACAAAAAAAAAACTATATCTAGGAGAAAAAAAAGTGAACCAAAAAACATATAAAAAACATATTCTAAATATGATTCTATCATAAATGAACAAAGATAAAAAAAGCAAAAAAAAGCTAGTATCACAGTTTAATTTGATACCCCAGATTTGTGTAATGCTAGGTTTTAGTGCTACAAATCACCAAAAATTTTGCAATCAATTAGTTGCCAACTTTTCAATTATTTAATTTTTATTTGATTTTTGTTTGAGTTTTCAAAAATTTTTTAATTGATTAGTTGCGATTTTCAATTTTCAATTTGTAGCACTACTAGGTTTGATTAGAATCGGGGTGTATTGATAGTGTGATCAGATCTTGTATAATGTATAATTTAATTAAAAATCTAATTGTAGATAGTCTAATATATGTAACCAGATATAATAATATTCAGGTTAAATCATGTAATATTTAAAGTGAATATTAAATAATAATAAAGCTTAGGCAATTTTAGCTTTTAGCTTAGTGAAGTTTAGCTTTGGCTTTAGTAATTTATCATTTATACACTAAGTGATCATCCCTAGTAAAGTATTGAAATGAACGGAAGAGTATCTGTATAATACTCCAGTCATCGTATAATAGCCAATTAAGTGAAGTTAGATAGTAAAGTACTACAAATACATGGAGTGTTAAGAAACTCTATAATATTAGAAATCCTAATATACAATAAAATGAACAAAAGAAACAGGAACATGTAGCAAAGGTCTTTTTCGATTTTTAACAGTTGCTTTACCTTGTTTAATATATCAAAAGTATGTCAAAGATATGTCAAGTATAGCCTGGATTTGTATAAGGAGAACATCTTTCTAAATATCAAATACAAAGTAAATTTCCAATTATATTATATAATTAAAACAAACTTAGGCTATACTTGACATATCTTTAATACACTTTTGATATACTAAACAAGGTAGAGTAGCTGTTAAAAATCAAAAAAGATCTCTACTAGAACATGCACTATTATAATCTGTATCAGACAATTTTTGAATCTGTGCCAGTTTGTTAAATATCTACTTAGATATAACCAATCAGATCATAGCTTTATTTGTGCTAATTTTTAATTATTAAGACTTAAAATTTTTATAATTTCTAATGATGATTAGTAAAAATTTTTTAATTTAATTTTATATATTTATAGTATTAAAATAAAAAAAATTTATTGAATTTGGTTTAATAGATATTGAGAAATCTTAGTAAAGGTTTAAAAAATCCTAGAGAAAAACTAAAATCAGGTAAATTTTGCTTTTTTTAAACTTTAAATAAAGATTTCTTGACACCTATCTATCAAAATTTAATAGGTTTTTTTTTATTTTAATTTTATAAATCTATAGAATTAAAATAATTTTTTTTTTACCAAGTTTGTATATATAGTTGTCAAAAAATTCATTAAAAATAAAGAAAAAAATTTGGTGTAGTTTTTATTTTATAAATATTTAAACTTCAAATAGTGATTACTTGATGCTTACTAATCAAATTCAACCCAAGTTTTTTTTTATTTTAATTCTATCTTTACAAATTTTAAATAAAATTAAAAAATATTAATAATATGAATACTTTATATATAAACAATAGTATATTTAAACCATATTTTATATACTGTTACAAAGCAGATTATAACACAATGTAACATTAGCATAGCATAGTGTAGATTATAGTTCATTATTATTATTATTTTTTTTTTGGTATTAAGGTGAGGCCTTGCTCATATCTTTATTGATTAATTTATATAAGTAATTACATATCAA